TTTTTTCATAATTACGATGTAAAAATACTTTTTAATAAAAGTAACATGCTTCATAATCTATATCTATTTGATTATTAGTATTCTTTTAGTTTAAATCTATTTGTTTATAAATATATATAATATTATATTATAGTCATATCGGCATATTCGATTAATATTTATCATTTTAAGAACATTGATCATTTATTCTACTACGTGTCAATATTTTATTTTGTTCTACTGAAAGTAAATACAAATTAAGATCGCCTATTCAAGCTAGTGAAGACAAAGGGTGTCTAGACTTGAACTGAGGCGGACGGGAAACAACGGGGCAATAGGAAATCTCTCTCTTTATACAAAATATCTTGAAAGGCGAAGAGCGACTACTTTTGACTTTCTGCTCGTAGTTCCTCTATTCTTAGTGTAGTGAAACAGTACTAGTGCAAGAGCGCTTACGACAGCTCGTAGCTATTGGTGGCTTCCTTCTCTTTAAGAAAGAGAGAGGGATTCACCGCTATGGAAAACCTGATCTCATGGATTAGCCAGAACAGTGGAGAAGCAAGGAACTGGTAGTTACTTGTCCCATCGACATTTGACCAATCAGGTGGCATATTTTCGGTGCTCTTCCTATGTGGAGGATATTACACATGCTCTTCGAGACTGCCCAAAGACAAAGCAGACTTGGTTGTCCCTTGATAATCAACTGACTCAAGGAATAAATTACCAGCTGGATTCACAGTCCTGGATTCTTCAGAATTGCAAACAGAAGCATTTGAATTTGAGTATACCTTGGTACTTAATATTCTTGTATGCTCTATGGTGTATGTGGTATTGGAGAAATTGTGAATTGCACGACAAGGATTTTGTTTCGCCTGGGAATGTTGCACAACTGATCCGAGGAAAAGCCAAGGAGGCTCATGATGTCTTAAACAGTTTCAATTCAAGACTAAAGCATATTGCTATGATAACCTGAGTTATGCCTCAAGACAGAACTATCAAGGTAAATGTGGATGGCAGCGTGAAATCTCATAGTAGAGAAGCTACTGCTGCAGGTATTATAAGGGATAGTCAGGCTACCTGGTTAGGTGGTTTTGCGCATAGAATTGGGATTGCTCAGGTTCTTGAATCGGAATTAAGGGGTAACTATGATGGACTTCTATTATGCTAGAACAAGGGATTTCGAAGAGTGGAATTGGAAACGGACTCACTCGAAGCAGTCAAGATGATAAGCAACCTAAGGTTCATGGGTCATCCTCAACATGGTAGAAAAAAAGAGTGCTATTATAAAATTGATAAATACATAATTTGATCTTTAAGGGAAATTTGTTTTACATGTTTCTATATACATATAAATAAATATCATATTTGAACTTTATTTTTATTTCACATATATGCAATATATACAACTTAAATACTCATTTAAAAGTAACAATATATTGTAAAGATTTCATTTCAAAGTAAACAAAAAAATCAATCAAGTCGGTCAAAAAACAAGACTAAAATAACAAAATATATAAATAAAAAAAATTCACTAATCATGGTAACAAGTTTTTAAAAGTACCACTATATTCCGTTCTCTTTTTCACTAATCATGTATCCTATTACATTCAAATTTATTCAAAGAATGGAGTCAAATCTATCTATATAAAACAACAATAAGGTTAAATCATTTTTCGAAATAATTTTCCGCCAAAATCATTAATTAGAGACTCAAAAGGGGTAAGTTATATATTTTTTTCTTAAGTTTTTTTAAATAAAAAAAGCATTAAATGCACTGCCACAATGTTGATTCTTCTTTTTCATACTCGGTTTTTGTTGTAGAAAATATAATTTTGAATTTTGTGTTGTGAACATTTTGGATTTTAATTAAAATCAATTATTTTATGGTAATGATTTTGGTGAGTGAATTTTTTTTTTCTTCATAGAAGATTTTTAAACCGTCGGTTAAACAAAATTTATGGACAATACATATATTTTTTATATGTACAGTACATATAAAAACCGCTGATTATGGACATTATATATATTTTTTATTTTTATAAACAAAATTTAAACTGCAACAGAATTAAACAAGTTATATTCGCAATTTTATTTTTACATTTTTTAAATAAAAATAAGCTATAAAAATGTGATATAAATAACTACAACAGTTCGATCTTTCCCATTTCAAAACGTAACAAATATTTTTTTTTCAATAAATAGCATTCAAATTTTCAAAATACACGATTAACATTCAAGTTTATCATTTACATATACAAAAAAAATACGACTTTCATATCCTTATTTATCACGTGAAAAAACTATACATTATGAATCTAAGCAAGAAAATGTTTGTCTTATTCAATAGAGATATACACAAGATCCATGCAAAATGAATTATAAATATAGACAAATTAATTTATTTATGAAATGTTTTTTTCATTAAGAAATATGATTTACATGTTATCCAATTCATTTAGTTAGTTTTGAAGTATAAATGATATAATATCGTTGTTATTTTTTTCAACGTAATTATTTTTATAAATATTATTTACAAAAGATACCATCGAAATTGCAAATCTCTGTTAAAACATAACAAAACAAAATGATCTAAATATTGGAATAGATTTGGAATAAAAAACGAGAATGATTGAAAAAAGATTTACAATAGATTTGAAATAAAAAATGAGAATGATTGAAAAAAGATTTACAATAAATCTGCACTTTAAGGTAACAACTTTTCTTATATTCCATATAAAAATTAAATTTAACCTCATAAATCATTTTTTTAATATTTGTCACATTATTACATATTTTCACTATAATTTTATTTCGTGGTGTTGGCATTCCAAAAACCAGCACATAATTAGAGGAATAAGGTGTTTATCAATTACCAAGTGGAGAGAATATTGGTCTACAATTGTCAAGTGCCAAATGATTTTGCATGGAAAAATGATGAAATTTTTAATAATGTACGACTTTTTTCTTGCCGAACTTTTTATAATTAGTTGACAAATCCTCTATGTATCATAACTTATATATTAATAGCCTTCTATTTATAAATTTTACCAAAATAAATACAGTTCGTGCATCGCACGGGGTACATACTAATATTTAATAAGAGAAACTGCGAATTACTAAAGTTTATAATTAATGTCAACTTGTCTATTAATTCTTCTCAATAGACTTCACTAAATTTGTTAAATTTATCCATTTTGGCCTATGTAATGCCAAGTTTAATAATAGTTTTGTATGCACACTATTTGGAGAAAACATTTCAAGGTTGAATCGAAAAATCATAACTAATATGATATCTACATGCAATGTAATAAATAAATATTTTTTTACAATGTTTTTAATTTTGTATTTATACTTCATATATATAGATAAAATTTTAAATTTGATACGTCAATTTACGATTTTAAGTCATGACATACACATGCTTAATGTTAGAGATAATTAGTATTATGTTATATAACATAATAATTTCTAAGTCCTAACATAATAATAATAATGAAATTCTATAAGATTATCAATTATAGTTTATAATATAATAATTCTAAATCCATACTTATATAAAAAGTCATCCCATTTACTATAATTAGTAGGAAGAAAAGTCAACTCATAATTAATTGCACACATATTTAGAAAGTTTTTAGATTTTTAAAATCATAAAGTAGGATAGCATTAAATGTCCCTATAATTATGGATTTTGTTGAATTTATTTTTAATAAAATTTGCATCCAAACTTAAGTGTGGTTTTGAAGTAAAATTTTGAAATTCAAAATCTCTTCTCATTTTATTTACAAGAAAATTCTTGTTGCATTCAACACTTAGACCAATTTAAAAATTACTCCTTAAATGAATGAATTTATAGATAATTGTTATCTCTACTCAATCACATGATTATTTTCAATATAAAGAAAGACAGATTACAAATTAGTGAATCATATATTACTAATGCAGTATCATAACATTAATGAATAAATTCATAGTATTATGTAAATATGTATCTCATATTATTATATCTTTAAGAATTATTATAGTTATATTATCAAGTTATATAGTAAACATATATCGTAAATAAAATAATTCATATAATTTTATAACAATTCTACTATACTATTTAACAGTATTCCTTTTTATTATATAATAAAATAATAACTAAATATTATATGGTGAACAAAAATAAGTAAAACAGTTACTTTCTCTTATATCAAGGGATAAATTTATATGCTAAAATTAAATTTTTATTAGTATAAATGTTTTATTGATATAATATATTAATTATTTTACAAGCTAGCCCTAACATGCTCAAATTTAATGTTCTGGCTAAAAAATCAACGCTGGTTAAAAGACGTGGAAAAAATTTATAACCCTATTATTTTTTAGATATAACGTTTATTAAAAGGGGTAGAAAATAAATATAATCCTATTTCTTTTTAGACTTAAACGGACAAAGCTGTGAAAATAATTCATTTAATATCTATGTCTCGTGCATCGCACGGTACATAATAGTTCTAATTATAAGATAATAAATTCTAATTTATAACATAATAATATCTAAATTGTAACACAATTTGTATAATAAATAAAAAATTGTTTATAAAAAATTAAATAAAATAAATTGTGGCTGCCGGTCGTGCACGGTGCGGCGGGCTGGCCGGTGAGATAATTTTTTGTTTTTACTTTTCAAAAATTTAATAAGGACAAAAATATCCAAGTGAGAGCCATAAGTAGTAAAAGGAGGATAGTATTTTAGTAATTCACATCTAAGTATGGCTTATGTGTTGGCCATTTGACTGTCGGTAGTTGTAACATTTGCGGTCAGTCGAACCGGGGTGATTTGAACCGGGCTGAGTTTAGCCACACTCACACATCAAAGCATACTTTTGACAGGATTCTCATGATATTTCTACTTAAGATATGTATTATTATTATTATTATTATTATATTAATTATTTATTGTCACGGAGGATCTATATGACATTAAAAAGATATGGTACCGACGTGTAATAAAATAAAATAATAGGAAAAAGCAAATGCAAGCACAATTCCCGAAACTGGATCCCACCGCTTCCCAACTAATCACACGTGCTCCTTATCACACTCTTTTTATACTTATATCCACTCGATTTCCCTTCCTATCTAATCCTCATCCCACCGAGCTCCGCCCATGGCCGTTGTCCGCAACCGCCGCCCCCTCAACCTCCGCCTTCCCCTCCCTCTCCCAGACTCCTCCGATCGCCGTGCCCGATTCCCCCACCCTCTCCCCCCACCC